TTTACAAATAAATGGACCAGCCCATCCATTCTATCATGTGGGCCTCTTCCCTTACACACACACTCAGCACACACACTTTCAGTCCAACTGTCTACTCCATGATTTTGCTCTGGGTTCCATTTCCGCCCCCAGATCTCGGGTGTTCTAGTCTGCTCACAAGTCAGTTTTATTCTGATTTCACCTCTGCAGTATACCTTTTAGATAACTAGTCCAAATGATCCACCCCTAGCTAACCATCTCTGAAAACCCTGACTGTCTAATTCATCTCTGACTTCCTCAGCACTGCAGCACCGCCACTGAAAAATGCTGGGTCTTCGATTCTCAGATTCCCTTAATAGACAGCTATGGGGGGCCGGCGGGGACCACAGACCTGCACTGACCTCCGACTCTAGAGCTTCGGGCCATTCCAGAAGCACAATCACACTCGTCTTTTCTGAAGAGTCCACCATTCCAAAAGCTTCTATTCCTCATGAACAGGGACTGCAAATGAACCCATTTCCACTTGGAACCCACACCACAGTGGTTCTGCGCCCATTATTAAGTGCTGCCTCTTATCCCGTCATTTAATTTGGCACTGTTTACCTCATTTCCTCAAATCCATAGTCCCGTTCCTAAACTCAGAGACTGTTTTCTTCATGTCTCTTCTCAACACTAGTCACCGTCCTTTCCACAAAGAGCAGGCTCAACAAATATTTGCTCAATCAACTGATGAACCACTTCATTTCCCAGGTTCTCTACACAGGTTATCAACAAGTGTATGTTTAATCCCAGCCTCTGTCGGTGTGGTCCTAGGTCAGGTACTTGACAGCCTGTCATCTACAGAATGAGGGGGGAGTACTAAATGGCCCCTAAGACCCTTCCAGTGCCATTAGTGAATCTCATTAGACCAAACCAAACCCCGAAGAAAGCATTATCTCTAGTCAGGTCAGCAATATACTTTTTTTCAGAGGAAAGAGGTCAGCAACCTTGTGGGCCCTATCACCTTCAGTGGAGCTACGATGGGGAAGAGGAGTTAGAAAGTAAATGAAGGAGGAAGAGAAAATAAACAAAGGTGAGTGGTGAGTGGAATCACTAAGATGCCACCAGGTGTCCCAACAGTTACTGAGCTACCTACCCACTCTTCTGATACATCCTAGTTATGCCCAGGAGCCTTTGACAAACGCAGCCATAGCCAGATGTGTAGGTACCGAGATTTTCCCATGATGCCCCCACTAGCCCTTGTCGCACCCTGCACATTTTTATTGACCGTCCTGAGTAGGGCACACTTCCTGCATAGGATCCAGAAAGGGGTCACCATTAGGTCTCATGCACTGTGATAATAATTCTTGGGGTCCCCAAATCTCCATGTGGAAAATAGCAGAGGAAAGGAGATGGTCGACGAACACGAAATAACTGGATTTCATGCAGTCATCTCTTTTAAAATTAACCCCTGGATCAAAAGGAGCGATGTTCTACACCAGCACTGTCCAAAAGAAGTAAAATGCAAGCTACACATGTCATTTAAATATTCTAAATAGCCACGTTTTAGAAAAATTAAAAAAGAAACAGGTGAAATTAACTTTAACAATGTTTCATTTAACTCGATATATCCCAAATATTACCATTTGAATATGTTACCAATACAAAAATTATTCATGAGATATTTTACTTTCTTTTTTTGTCCTCAGTCTTTGCAATCCAGGGTGTATTTTACACTCACAACACATAGCAATTTGAACACTAAACTTTCATCAGAAATCTTTAATCTGTATTTAGACTTTATAACATTTACAGTTTAAAAAGCAGACGCACACGCTCAAGTTGTTTTCAAACATATTTAAGTTTTCCAATAATTAATCAAGTATCAATTTTAAGAATTAAATAAATTTGAAAGTCAGCTCCTCCTCACCATAGCCAGATTTCAGTGGCTGATGGCCACACGTAGCTAGTGGGTACCATATTAATGCAGGTGCAGACAACCCTGTCTCTACCCCCCTGGATCCTTTTAAGCCTGAGCCACATTAAAAGACGTTACCCTTTCAGCCAGCAAGTCCTTCTACAGTACCCCCAGGGGCTTTCCGCCCCGCTGTCAATCCTTCAGTGATGATCATTTACCAAACAGCCCTTCCCAAAGACGGAACAACTCTTTTAGCTCAGAGAGAAAGGCTCATCTCAACTCAGGGAAAGAACGGAGGCACTGAGATTCAAAGACACGGAGTTCATTTCTTTGGTAAAGGTGGAAAATCCTGACATCGTCACGTCTTCGTCCAGGATATTAGTCACCCCGTGAAAGTTACAGTCATTGTTTACAAGGAGCCTCCCAACTTCCACACTCACGGCAGCGCTCGCTGCATCCTCAGACTCTTCGCTTCCCTCCAGTGCTCCCTCCTAGCTCCCCCCACGACCTCCTCCTCTCTAGCAGCCTCTCTAGAGCACATTCCGGCAGCCTCTTTATTTCAATCTGAAAAGTGCTTGTTATTGTTGACATACTGAAACATATGAATAATTCAATAAACGTATTTCCAACATCCTATTAATCATTCATTGGTCTAGGTACCTAAGTTATCTTGAGAAAAGCTTTTCTGAAAGTACATAGAAAGCACCCCCCACCCTTCCCAAAGGAACCAATTACAAACACTACAGCTTTCTCTCCCTGTGTCAAAGTTCAGTGTTCCTCCGGCCGCTGATTGAAAAGTTGATCTTCTAAAGGAGCTGGATTCCTAAGGTGGTTCTATTTTGAGCTTTCTTCCTGTTCTGAAGCTAAAGTTGGAAGGGCTTAGGTGGTGATGTCATGGAAGGGAGACTGCTGGCTTTTACAGAAGGGTCTTCTCCAGCAGCTCTGGGGATGCTCATGGGGAAACCAGGGGGAATGTTCATTTTTGTCTCCTTCCCCCTACCTCCCTTTTGAGTCCCAGCTATTCACTAGCCAGCAAGAAAACACGTTCAAATAAGCATGCAAACATATTTACATATTTTACTTACTAACCATCTCGAAAATGAAAAGACTGGGAGAAGGAAATGCCTCCCTCTAGGCAAGAAGGGTGACCACCTTTTTCTCCAACCCTCAACCCCACCTCCCCAAATATCTATCACAGCACTAGGGGCAAAGAGGGTGGGAGCAACAGCTGGTAAGAATCAGGCGATTATAACTCTAGGAGGCCTGAAGAGGGAAATGCTGTTGGGGATATCCAGGACAGAAATGAGACCCCTGGGTCCCTTGGCTTCCATGGTTCCCTCCTCCCTTTTGGAATGGTTAGATTTGGGGCTGGGTGTGCCTTCTGCCTGGAAGGCGTGTTTGGCTCTTTAGAACCAAGAGGGGCCAGGGTGGGGCCCACGGAAGAGAGCCAGAGACGGGCTGCTTAGGCCTGATTCTGGGCTAAGCTCTTAGGGGCAGAATGAAGGGGCGGTGGGGGAAAGCAGAGGATTCCAACAGAAGACACAGTGGGGAAGAAAGAAGGCGCACCGGGCTGAAGTGGGTCACCGCTCTCTCTCAATCTAAACCCAGCAGTGAGTCGCTAGTTGGCGGGGTGCAGGTCCAGGGGGAAAAGAAATCCCAACACATCTGTAGACCACAACTTGCCAGGGTGGAGGGAAGAGGGGCCCCAAAGCCGTCAGCAGGTGAAAGCAGCACTTTTTGGCCAATTCTGGGACGGGGGTTAGCTAGGAGCTCTGGGGAACAGAGGATTCCCCGGTTTCTCAGCTCACCTCTCCTCCAAAGCGGGAACAGGCACAGGTGTGGTCCTCCTCCGAGGAGCTGGCAGCTGGCGTGAGGGTAGCAGCGTGAGCGAAGATTCCTGGGCCGGAGAAGCCCTGGGGTCAGCTGCGGCCAAGAGCAGGCGGCCTCCGCCAAGTCCCCTCCCCTTTCTTGAAAACCGACCTGGACCGGCATAAATTACAGCAACGCACCCCCCGCCCCAATAATGTTTCTAATAAAAGAAACAGCCTCGCATGCCCACAGGAAAAAACTGCAGGCTCCGGTTGACGGAAATAAACAGGTGAGCGCGGAGAGAAGCGGGAAAAGCCCGGGGATGGGAGAACGAACGCGCCGAGAAATCGAGGCGTCCCCGCCCGCCCGCACACCCGCTCCCCTCCCGCCGGGAGAATCTGCGTGGCAGGCTGCAAGCTGAAAATGCCACCCTGACAGACCCCCGCCCGCCCCGCGTCCATTCTCCCTCCTACCCCAGCGTCCAGCGTCCCGGCCTCGTGGCAGCGCCCGGTCCCCGGGAGCCGCGCGGGGCTCCCCGCCGCCGCCGCGGGGACTCCGGTCTTCCTCTCTCCTCCCTCCCTCCTCCTCCTCGTCCTCCGCCTCCTCCTCGCAGACTCCTCCCGCCGGATCCTTCATGTAAACAACAGCCAGGCTCTATTTACAGTCGCCGCCGGACGGCGAGGGACCCACGCCAGCACCCCGGCAGGAGGCGGGGGTGGGGGAAAAGCGAGTGCGCAACATTTACACACCCGCCCCGCCCCTCCACGCCGCTGCCCCTCCGGGGGGCCGAGCGGGCCGCCGGGGGCTGCCCGCGCCTCGTGCGACCCGCGCCCCTCCGGACAGCCCGGCACGGCCCAGGGGCGAGGCCGCCCCCTCCCCGCGCGGGCGACAACGCACAGCCGACACCAGCGCCCGGCCCAGCCCCGCGCCCCAAGTCCGTGCGCAGCGCGAGCCGGGCCCGCCGCCCGCCCCGAGCCGCGCGCCGTGCGGGCCCCCGAGGCGGCGGCGGGCGGGCGCCCAGCGCCGGGCAGCCGCGCGCCCTCGGCCCCCGCGCCGCCCCGCCCGCCCTCGGCCGCCCCCCGCGCCGCCGCCGAGCCGCCGAGCCCCGCGGGCGCGTGAGCGGGTGCGTGTGCGGGGGCGCGCGCGCGGGGCCCGCCGCCCGAGCGGCTCCCGGGGTCCCCGCGGCTCCGGTGCCGCGCCGCCGTGCCCGGAGCGCCGCGGCCAGCGCTGCCCGGCGCGCGCCCGGGGACCTGGGCTCCCGCAGCCCCGCGCGCCGCCGCCGCCCCCGCGCCCCGCCACCCCCACACCCACCTGCGCCCCCGGGGGTCCCGGGCCCCCCTTCCTTTGTTCTTCCCGCTATTTGCATGAGGATTATCTAATGACGCAGCAAGGCTCGCCACAACGTGACCGTCGCCATTTTTCTGTTTTTATTCTATCTCTGCCATGTGATAGATGGGGGGGAGGGGGGGAGGTTGGAAAAGGGAGAGAGACAGGATTAAAAAAAAAAAAAAAACTTCCGGGTCTCATGACCGGGAAGGGAGAAAAACAAAAGGGAGACGAGACACAACTCCAGGGGAAGGGTGTGTGTGCGTGTGTGCGTGTGTGCGCGCCCTCCCCGCCTCTGCTCCGGCGGCCGGCCAGGAGCATCCTCCCACCTGGGGACCCGGATCGCACCGCTCGCCGTGGCGGTCGCCTGTGCCGGCCCCACGCCCGCCGCCAACGCTCTGCGAAGCTGTCAGCTCGGTCCCTCCTCGTCGCCTCCACTTGCCGGTCCACCCCAGAGCTCGCGCTCGCGTTCCGGGACGGGCAGGCCGTTCTGGGTTAGGTTCAGAGAAGTCTGACTATTATCATAAGGGAGGAAATGATGAAGTTTAAAGACTCCGCGTTTCCTAAGTTTTAAAATAGTTTGCTTCGATGCTGTTGTTTATGACAACCGCGTGGAAACGCTAGGCGGAATCTGATACTGGTTCGAATCCTTCCTCTTTCTCTGCTCTCCCTTTTCTCTCTCTTCCCAAAGCGGCACGCAGCCGTGTGTGATGTTCCACGGGGGTTCGTTATGTGAGGACGGACTGTTCATCCCGGACTGATTTATCTTGGAAGAAATTTTTAATAAAAGGTTGTTTCGGATCAGGGAGCATCGTTTGAGGACAGTTGCGTGGGGCAGGGTAGACTTGTGTTACAGTGATGTGACATTCAGAGGGCGTGATGGAGATTTCATTCTTTCCCAGGTCCCGTGTTCACGGTGGCTGAAGAGACAGTGTGTTTGGGAGCTCTGCCACGTTTTTCGGTGAGATGTGAAATTCTGTACTTTTGTTTATGACTATTTCCTTTGGGCGCTTTCACTTTTGTTTCTCTTGAGTTTTCTTTCTGGTTCCTTGTCTCTATTTCATAATTCAGAGCAGAAAAGGACTTTGGAGTCCACTAGCGTTCCTCACTGTACAGGCAGAGAGACCGAGGCCCCGAGTGGTGATGGAGATGCTTGGGGACCCCATTTCGTTGGAGAGGAGCTGGGCTTGAGCTCACCTGGTCTCTCTGTTAGAGGTGTGGAGGGGGAGGGGGTCGTCGAGGGGGAGTCGCTTAGTAATGTGTGGCAGCAATACTGCTTTGTAAAATTGACATCCTAGAAATTAAAGATGGAGAACACTTACCGCATCATTCCCTTCTTAGACTGCTTGGATTGCTTCTTTAAAACCCCCTTTCTTGTGATTTAACTCAGGCGTATCTAATTCAGATCCTTCTTCACCTTTCCCTGGGAGAGTTTGTCATCTCCGTGAACAACCCCACATGATGGTTATGCATTGTTTGTGTTAGAATCGCAGAGTTGACCACTCCCCCACACACTGTGTCCTTTTCTCTTTATTTCCCGGTGCCTTTCACACTTCAGTGTACAGAACACAGCTGATGGATCCCCTGAACTAGAGGGAAAGCTCTGAGGGCCAGGGCCTGTGCCATGTTCATTTGATGTCTCCATATTGAGCACTCTGCCTGGCCGTGAATGAGCGAATGAAGGCCTGATGAGTTTTTCCCTAATTCCATCTTGACCATCTCTAGAAATTTCCTTCCGTGTTTCTGGTGAAGACACAACACTGGAGACACTTTTTGATTCTTATACCTTTGCAGACCGTTTTGGACAGGCTTCTAGTTTACAGAGCCAAGCAAAACATAATTTGCTTTCTCAGTTTTTTTTTTATGAAGAGTTTTCTGCCCTCTTTTTACCACGTTTGGTTCCTCTTTTTCAAATTCCTTCTAATTCGTATAATTATTTATGTCAACGCTTGCCCTTTGACTTTTGCTTTCATAGACTCCGAAAGGTTGGTGAAGTGTCAGCTGTGATTTCACCCCGCTCAACCTGGAATCTCATTATCCGAGGCAGCGTTCTTAATGAGACTGGTTTGTCCTGGAGCCTATGAACTGGGTGAGGAGGCTGGCAGTCGAGCAGGCTGAAGAGGCTGCTGAAAAGATGTCAGCATCTGGACAAGAAGTGCACATTTGCAACTTTAAAAGGCTGGAGAGTAACTGATGCATGCAATTATATTTATGGCTCGGAGGAGGGTCTGGGTTGTCACAGATGAGCTCATACACATCCGGAATGTTGAACTTCCCTTGCATAGCTCAACACAAAATGCCCATGTTCCTTTGGATTGGGCAGTCGAAGCTGGGATTACTGACAGTAACATCTACAGCCCATGTTTTGTCCTAGGCAATAACAGTGTGGTAGTAATTTTAAGTGTAACCATATCACCTTCCAGCAAGGTGGAGACGAAGTCTACTTATATGTAAAGTCATGTGCTCCCTTAAGTAAAAAGCTGAGCAGAGAAAAAAGGAACAGCACTCAAACCACCCCCCCGCCCCCAAGGAATTGCCTCCATAGCTCTTGTCTTCTACACATGTGCACTCAGACGTCATTACAGAGAAGATCAAACTTGAGTGGTCTGGGGTGCTCCATCGCTGTTGATTAAAGAGAGTTCTTCTGGGCACTCCAGCAATCTTCCATCTCTCCCGTACACATTTGAAAAATGGCAGTTCCTGGTGTGTGAGAGCATAGCCTTTGGAATTAGGTCCTAATCTCAGCTCTGCCAGACTATTAGCTGTATCATCCTGGACAGGTTACTCATCAGCTCTGATTCTCAGTTACTTTACTCATAAAAGGAGCATAAGAACACCTAGCTCAAAGAGGAGTTTTTAGGATTGAAATTTAATCAAAATTTAATAAAATATATGTAAAGCCCCTAGCACGATACTGGGAGCTTAATCTTCAAAAACAAGCAGCTGTAACAATTTTTTAATTGTATTTTTGTTTACCCCATACACTTCATAGAATTATTCTTTTCCTTTTGGCTTCCTGCTCTTGAAAATTCAACGAACCTACTATTAGTGAAAGTTCTGTGATTACGAAGATAAGCGAGAATAGGTCCTGCCCTCAGGAAGTTCACCCTTCAGCCTTGGAGAAATACCTATAGAAGCAACTGTGCTGATGCTGGCGGGCTGAAGGCAAGCGCCTGGGCCCTCACACTTTGTGATGACCTGCCCTAGAAGTATTTAACTAAGATGTAGATTTATTAATACTCAGGCAATGGCAAAGCTTATGGAAGCAGTTAGGAAAATGGCCTCCCCTGAGCAAGCAAACAAAATCTCACATTTTCACAAAAATGAGGATTACTTTTAAAACTCCATCTAATTAGTATAATTCTGCAGTTTTCGAAAATTTTCTGGTCCAGTATAACAGGCAGCCTCTTTTTTTGCATTTGTGTGAAAAATATGCCAGGTTGTACCTTTGAGGTAATGTTGGAGAAATGTAGTTAATAGGAAGCACTTCTGGTTGTTAATTAATTAGACCACTTTAATCAAGAACTATTTTCTGGGAAACTTATTCCCAGCCCTGGGTCAGGTGCTAAGGAAACAAAGATGATGCAGATACAGACTTTGCCCTTCAGGAACTCATTCCACAAATGTTTGTTGATCACCTACTGGGGATGCAGTGGTAAGACGTTGAGCTTACCAGAGGGAGATTACATACAGATCTTCCTCAACTTACCGTGGGGTCACATCCTGATAAACCCATCGTAAGTGGAAAATATCATAAGTCAATAATGCATTTAGTACATCTAAACTACCAAACGTCATAGCTTAGCCTAGCTTACCTTAAACGTGCTCAGAACACTTACATTAGCCTATAGTTGGGCAAAATCATCTAACAGAAAGACTATTTTATAATAAAGTGTTGACTAGCTCATGCAATTGATTGAATGCTATACTGAGAGTGAAAAGGAGAATGGCCATGTGGGTACAGAATGGTTGTAAGTGTGTCAGTTTTTATCGTATGATCTCGGGGTTGCAGGGCACTGCAGGGGCTGCCCCTGCCCAGCATCACAAGAGACGACCATATGGCACATGGCTAGCCTGGGAAAAGATCACAATTCAAAATTCGAAGTCCACTGTCTACTGAATGCCTATCACTTTCGCACCATTGTAAGGTTGAAAAATTGTAGGTGGACCCATTGTAATTTGGGGACTGTCTGTGAGCACATACCTTTCCAGCTCAAGAAGTGTTTGATTGACAGGGTTTGGGCAAGGCAAAAATATATATATTGCCCCTCCCCCAGAATGTTTTATGTTCCTCAAAACAAAGAGCAACTCTTGAAAGAATATTCTGGACGCTACAGCCCAAGTGGACCTGGGACTCTCGCTGGCGTTAGGCGGAATTGTGAGGAGCGAAGTTGTGTTCGATTCCCCCAGAGCCGGGCCTATTTGAATAGCTTTCTGGCCTCTCAGTTCCTGTCTTTCTGAACCGTTTGGCTCTCCAAAGGACTGCCGCAATGAGGATTCGACAACACAAACCCAATTATATGATTTCTGTGCTTAAAAACTTTCCTGGCTCCCCAGGATCTGCGAAGCAGGGCACACGAGACCCTTTGTGATCTTGTGCCATCCCGCCCTCCAGCCTCATCCCCTGAGACCCACATGGAGGGTTGTCAGATCTAGTTAATAAAGATACAAGATGCCCAGTGAAATTTCAGGTGAACAACATTGTTTTGGTATCCATACGTCCCAAATATTCCATGGGGCATACTTACACTAAAATGTATTCACTGTTTATCTGAAATCCAAATTTAAGCAGGCGTCCGGTATTTTATCTGGCAACCCTACTCATGCCAGTCTGACTGATTACCTTGCTGTTCCCCACCAGTCTCTTCGTGCCTCTGTGAGTGCCTGATAACCTCTCCACCCTGCCCCTTCTCCACATGATATTCTGCTGTTCTGCTTCAAAAGCCAGTCATGGGGTTCTGGAACTCCACAGGTGTGAGCTTGGGATCCGAGGTGCCAGGCGGGGGCCTGGCCACCTGTGTGCCTTGTTCAGTATCTAGGCTTCTGCCCCAGTTCCTGTTCATTGTTTTCATTCTCCCTCCTGGAACTGGAGTTCTGCCCTGAACCCCAGTTTACTTGGCTGGGACCTACATACGGTTTTGCAGTCTTGCCAACTCTCTCCCTGCGACTGTGGGGCTGGATCCTTTCCCCCAGCTGCTCGTTGGGCTCCTGACCTAAACTGGATGGATCATTGAAACCTGCCTCAGATACTGCCACCTTCCTGTCTTGCGTACTACAAAAGATGGACAAGACACTCAGGTGAGAGCAGGTCTGTGAGAGTGGTTTATAGAGTGTAAAGCTCCATAGTGATTTAGTTTAGAGACTCATGTCAAACTCTTCACCTGGTCCTGGGTACGAGAGCCCCGCTTCTGTGGTGATCTGGATTTCCCTTGTTTCTGCTCCTGCCTAGTGATGTATGATGCTGAAAAGGATGTGAAAATTTTCCAAATGTCCTCTAATTTTGGTTAGTGCGTTCAGCCACGCTGGCTATTACATTATGAATGGATCTGGACCAGCCGCTTTAATTTTTAAAATTTTAATCTTGTGATCCAGGACACACCTCTTGATAACTGAAACCGAAGTCTCGTGAACTCTGTCATACCCTGAATGTGTGTAATGAACTCTGCTATTTTCTGTTCTATTTCATCTTTTAAAAGCTGGTCAACCCACCAAATTAATTTCATAACCCCCTAACGCGTTGACACTTGCATTTTGCTACACACTGATCTGTACTGTCCATTGAGATTTCCTGTGTTAGCCAAGCGACTGGAGCACTTGTCAAATGTCTATGTCATTTGGTGCTGCCTCCCGTAGGAACCACCTTGCCCACAAAGGGAGCTGAGGCCACCTCACTGAGGTCAGTCACAGTTGCTCCTGCCGAATGGTCAGCGAGCAGAGTATGGTGGCTGGACTTTCTGAGCTGCCTCGGGTTAATATATAAAATTCCTTCAAGGCCGTTTATAAAGAGGGAGAGCTGCAAGATGGTCACAGATGACAACTACATCCATCTTAGAATAGAGGGATACTATGTGGGGGCAATTTTTTCTCAGACATTTAAAATTATTCCTGGTTGAGTTAAAGAGATTCTGAGGTTTCTGAGATTTCACATTGATTTCAGAGATAAAATATGAATGAAAGCTCTGTCACTCACTGCTATGATTTTGTTTTCCCTAAATGGTGGGCAGGCTAATCCGACATCAGACTGTTTAAGAAGCTGGGCCACTGTAGATTCCAGAGAAAATAAGGAAAATATATGGGAAGGAAGATATGGTTCAAATGGAGTAGAAAGAAGACAAATTATCTAAGGAATTCTTGTGATACAGGTAGTCAGTCCCGCTGCTAGAATTCAGGGTTTTCTCTCCCCTCACCCTCTTCTCTTACTCGGGGCTGCCTCATTCCTTTTTCTTTATGAGATGGTTTTAGTTTCGTTTGTTTTCTTGGCCTCAAAAAGACCAGTTTGAGATCTGTGGTGGCACAAAAGCTAGATTGGAGACAATTTAAGAGAGAACAGGAGAAGAGGAATTCCAGGCTGCTACTATAGACAACCGTTTAGCTACAAGTGGTTACAGAGAAATAAGATGGTAACCAAACGCAGGAAATAGAGTCAAGGGGAGATTTTTGTTTCTTTGTCTTTAAAGTGCTTGCAATGATCTGTTTGTATACTGATGGAAATCATCCAGTAGAGGAAAACCCATGATGTAGGATAGAAAGGAAGGATTTGCTGGTCTGCTGTTCTTGAGTCTGCTAGAGGGTGGGACCTCGTGCACAAGTGGAAGCTTTCCCATAGGAGCCGAGAGTGCATCCTGACTGGCAGGAGGCGAGGCAGGGTCTAAGGGGTTCATCTGTATGGACGTGTGGATGCCGTAAGAGTGAGTGGAAGCTCTCTTCTGATTCTTCAGTTTTCTCAATGAGGAAAGAAGAAGTCATCAGCTGAGAGTGAGGATGACGGAGAAGAGAGGAGTGGGTGCGAAACGTCCTTTGGCAGAAAGGGAATGTAAGAAAACGAATGCATCAGGGAGACGGAGGATGTTAGCTGGGAAACAGGGTCTTCTTAAGTTCCTGGTGACAAGTTTAAAGTGAGACTGGTGTAGGTAGAAAGTTGGGTTTCACCAGGGTCGTGATTTTGCCTACCAGTGTGGCAGAATTACGGTGATCAAGGGAGTTCGGGGAGTGATTATATGTATTGACCCTGAATTTTAGGCTGAGTAAAGGGGGAATAGAGTGCCTCAAAGAGTGAGGGAAGGTGAAAAAATGGTGCCTAAGAGGCTCCTCCCTCTGTTCTTTGCATGACTGGCTCCCTCTTGTGGTTCAGTCATTCTCTGATAACACCCTTTTAACTCTCTTCGGAATACCTAAGGTGTTTTCTTTTTACTTTCTTTTATCTGTCTGTCTGTCTGTCTCTCTCTCTCTCTTTCTCTCTATCTATCTATCTTTCTTTCTTTCTTTTTATCCATCTTTCTCTGTATCTGTCTCTGTATCTATCTCTGTATCCATGTATCTGTCTGTTTCACACTACTAGAATATAAAGTCCATGAGAGCAAGGAGCTTGTCTGTAACGTTCATTATTTTATAGCCACAGCACTTATTTGGCACAGGAAAGACCAAAAAGTATTTGCTGGAATGATGAATGACTAGGATATGGTTTTAAGATCTTCACCATCCCGATCATGCTCTTCTGCACATGCTCCTGTTTGTCAGTTTTCTCCTTCTAACCTCCACCAAGAGAAAGAAGCTCCCTCGCCCAGGGTTCGAGCTGCTTGCTGAACCATCCGCTTTGGCTCTCCTAGGAGGCCTGCCTTCTGAGCGTGTGGAGAGGAGACCTCAGGAGAACACTACCGCAGAGTTAGGAGGCACCACATATTTCAGAGGGGAGACAGAAAGGGCGCCACCAAGACACAATAGCTTTCTGGTTTGTTTTATTTAAAACATCTTTATTGAGGCTTAATTTAGATACCATCAAATTCACCCATTTTAAATGTAAACCTTGTTGAATTTTAGTGAGTTTATGCAATTATACAACCATCACAATGATTCAGTTTTAGAGCACTTTTATTACCGTGAAAATTCCCCTGTGCCTGTTTGCAATCCATCTCTGCCCCCAACCCAGCCCTAGGCAACCACTGATTTTTCTGTCTATAGTTTTGCCTTTTCTAGAATTTTCATATAAATGGAATCATGCAACATGTAGTCTTCTGTGTCTGCCTCCTTCCGTTTAGTATAATGCTGTTATTGTGAGGAGTATTCCACTCTATAGATACACAGCATTTTGTTTATCGATTCACCAGTTGATGGACATTGTTTCTAGTTGGGGCTGTTATGGGTAACACTGCTATGAACATTTGTGTACAAGGCTCTGTGTGGACATACATTTTCATTTCTCTTGGGTCTATACCTAGGAGTTGAATTGCTAAGTTGAATGATAAGTGCATGTTTAACTTTTTTAAAACTGCAAACAGATTTCCAGAGTGGCTGTCCCATTTTACATTCCCACTAGCAATGGATGTGTTTCTCCATGTCCTCACCAACACTTGGTCAAAGTCTTTTTTGTTTTAGCCATTCTAGTAGGTGTGTAGTGGTATCTCATTTTGGTTTTAATTTGCATTTCTCTGATGACTAATGACATTAAGCATTTTTTCGTGTACTTATTTGCCATATATATAATTTTTTTTTTAAAGACTGGCATCTGAGCTAACATCTGTTGCCAATCTTCTTTTTTTCCTTCTTCTCCCCAAAGCCCCCCAGTACATAGTGGTATATCCCAGTTGTAGTTCCCTCTGGTTGTGCTATATGGGATGCCACCTCAGCATGGCCTGATGAGTGGTACCATGTCCTCGCCCAGGATCTGAACCAGCGAAACCCTGGGCTGCTGAAGCGGAGCATGCGAACTTAACCACTCGGCCATGGGGTTGACCCCTGCCATTTATATGTTATATCTTCTTTGGTGAGGTGATTATTTAACTATTTTGTGCTCATTTCTTATTGGGTTGTTTGTCTTCTTGTTGCTGAATTATAAATGTTCTGTGTATATTCTGGATTCAAGTCCTTTATCAGATACATATTTTGCAAGTATTTTCGTCGTCTTCATCATGTCTTTTGAAGAGCAGAAGTTTTAATTTTGGTAAAGTCTAATTTGTTGATTTTGTCTTTGATTGTTCATACTTTTTGTGTCATGCGTAAGATCTCCTTGCTAATCCAAGGCTGCAAAGACTTCACCACATGTTTTCTTTAAGTTGTTACGTATGGGGAGAGGCGAGGGTCGAGGTTCGTCTTTCTGCAGGTGTTCATCCAGTTGTCCCAGCCCCCATCACTGAAAGGACTTTCCCTATTGAATTACGTGGTCCCTTTGTTGAAAATCAATTGACCGTACATGTGAAGGCCTGTTACTGGACTCTGCGTCCTTTTGCATCCATCTAAATGTGTCTTGTCCCTTGATTATTGTAACTTTGTAGTGAGTTTTAAAATCAAGTAAAGTCCTCTGACTTTGTATTTCTCTTTCAAAATTGTTTTGCTATTCTAGGTTCTTTGCACTTCCATATAAGTTTTAGAAACAGCTTGTCAGGGGCCGGCCTGGTGGCATAGCAGTTAAGTTCGTGCACTCTGCTTCGGCGGCCCGGGATTTGCCATCCTGGATCCTGGGTGTGGACCT